AACCCCCCCCCCCCATAAATAAAATAAAATAAAAGAATCACACCAACACGTAAGTTGCAAAATGGCTGGGATCGAATTCCTTGCGGTTGACGTGCCAGGTTTCCTCGCGCGCAAGTAAACGAGAACGGGAACATCTGCGTCTCGAATGGCCAGAACCCGATCTCTCATCGCAGCATCAAAAGCAATTCGAACCGAAACCTTGCAATAACCTCCTTGGATTTCAGACGCTCTGAAGTTCCAAGAAGTACGCGAGCAATCAAGACAGACGACAAGGAGATATTGCGTTTCGAGCAATCCAAACCGGCGGTTTCCCGGCGTATGGAAGAGAAGTTAAGAAAATGCGGACAGTGTAAATATAGTTGTATAAATATAGTCGTGGTGAGGTATCTCGAGGAGTAGCAGCACATGTGCACGGATATGAGGGCAAAAATCAAAACAGAACCCCCCTAGAGTTCGTCGTCTGGATCCCACATGCAGCCGCAAAATGTGAAGTCGAAATTGGTCAAATAAATCTGGAAAGAAACCCGAAGAGCCGAAAACACTCGGCTCGACCGGCTGCATGGCTAATCCGCCTGACTTTTCCATAGATGGCGTCTCGATTTTGTCTCTTGACCCCTTCAATGTATCCCTGAGTAGAATACTTGATATCATGATGGGGAAGCCCAACATATTAATCTTTTATAGCAGATCGAGGATCGGGTTCACCGCAAACTACGGCTTCATGCAAATGCACACGGCTGGCTGCTGCCGTGCGGGTTCAATAAAAAAAATCCAGAAAGCCTACATTTTTTTCCCTCATACCTCCGTAATCCATTTAATAGTACCTGTATGAGACTTTGAATTCCTTCTTTGATTAACAAAAATAGGTTACTTTGCATAGTTTCCTCAACACACAATACGCCTCTAAGTCTAGCCGAAAACACTCTTTACGACGTTTCAAGAAATCAAGAACTTAAACATTAGGCAAATAAACTATTTACCAGAACTCAAAAATTCCTTCTAGCGGAATCCATCGTTGCGATGCGTCGCACTCCCGGCGTTTTATCGAATTCCGATTTGAATCCATTGGGAGTCGGCAATGCCCCCAGAAAGTCTCATGAAACGGGAAGGAAAACTTTTTTTCCGGGCGACCTGAGTCTCATGAAACGCAATGGGCATGCTCGTGATGAGTTTCCCTTTCAAGGATCAGGCGAGACTATCTCGGACTCGATTGAAAATTCCCTTTCTCGTGGCCCCCGATGGGACCTCCTCAAAGTCGCTCGAGAGGCCAGAAGTTTTTATACCGGGGGATTTCGCGGCGGAAGGAACTGCGTTGAAGGGTGTGTAATGGACTCCTTGCTGCATCTCATAAACTATACGTTTGCACGGGTCGTCGAAAAGGTTCTCTCTCTCACATGAAGCAGGATATGAAGCTCGTGGAAGCAACACTTTTTCATACGGCGGAAAAGCCAATGATCCCGGCGGGAATCATATAGGGGGTTATATACGACCAGGGGTCGGATGCGGTGAACGATTTCGAAATTCGGGCAATGGGCTTCACGCTTGCACGTGCATTCCATCATGTGCTAAAAATACGGACAGGCGTAGCAATGGCATTCGACACGCTCAGGCCTCTCGGTGGACGTAAAGGCACTCCGGGGCCAAGGGAGACGGCACGGACGGGAATCGGTTATCATCTACACATTTTCTTTTCCTTTTTTTTTTTCTTTCATCCACCGATTGCCGGGGGAAACATTCGGTCTTGACGGTAATTAGCGAAAGGCGTCAGAAGTCGATGATACTTACCTTAATAAAATTTGTCTTGGATGAGACTGCCTGTCTTCGCCCTTCAAAAAACGGTTCGAAATACGTGATGAAATGTGATTCCTTTCGGCAGCCCGTTTTCAAGATGAGTGCTCTAAGAGCTGAGTCACGTCCACCTCAAAATACACAGAATGTACTCGAACAGTGGGGTAATTGAGACGTCGAGGGCCTATGGGCTATGAGATCGAGGCTTCATGAAAATAAAAAGGGTCCCTTGATCGTTTTTATTGTCACGATCGTCTTAACATGCTTAAAGCGCATGACGGGACTCATGAATGAAGGTAGCTGGGATGGGCTCGATTTTGCGCTTGTGCATTTCACAAACAAAAAAAAAAAATTCTAAAAAGAGAGAGTGCTCAGCCCACTTCCCAGGCCATTAACTCATCTCTTAACGAGGAAATGGGAATCCGAAACCGCTCAGGCGCGGAGTAATTTAACCCACCGAGCCCCACAAGACCTGGCTGGAAACTACCAGTTGATTTTTTTTTTCTCTCTTCTACCCATCGTATGTTTCGATGACGCCCAGATGAAATATAATCAAAGTCTGGACTGTTGACAAGACCAATAATTAAGCGATGGAAATAGGAAATTTATTGTGAGTCTCCTCGAGATTCGTCTGTCTTGCGTTCGTGTAATAGATTCCATTAAAAAAATAAAGCAGACAAATGAGCGGGAAATGAGAGAAATATTTTGTATTTACCTCCCTCGTCCAGATTCCCCCTCTTGCCTCCCTTCATCAGCTCCTCCCACAAATGAATTGTCTGAGGGATAAATCTCCCGTCTGGTAAACAGGAAGATAACATTATTACCCTCCCCCCTACAATCAGAGCCGTGCTGGGTTCTGCATAGAGAAAACCGTCTATGGCAACCCAAGTATACGTGGAACCTTGAACACGACCGACCATTCTGTCCATTCTGGCAAAAGAAAGAGGCGTTCCTGAATAGATTAAGCAAGCTAATTGCGCGAACGAATAATTGGGCTCTTGATGACAAGCTTTCCAAGAGCAGCGATCGCGTGGGCTCCAGCAGAAAGTCACAACTTACACCTGCTCACGCCTACCTAGGGAACTACCCACGTCTTGGAACGGATACTGCTCAAGACGGACGACCGCTGCAGGAATTTTATTAAGTCTGCTCGAGAAGAGAGGGGAAGAGATGGAAGATCGCGTCATTATATCCAAGCTCGGAAGCTCGTCTCCGAAATGAGGAATCCCCCATCTAGGAGATCCATCTCATCAGACGGAGAAATCCGCCATCGTCGGATGAAGGGGGGGGGGGGGGGGCATGATATAAAAAAAAAAAATACTAATGTAAAGGCCCCTCATTGCATCCCATTTATGGACTAGGTGAATCCATTCCTGCTGAATCACTTATACCGATTAATGGACAATAATATCTTGGGAACAATAATCCATCCATCATCTGCTATCGAGTACCCGGCGATGGATTTTTTCCCCCTTCCCCCCCCCCCCCAACCGTATGCTGGCCCTCCCGGATAGTGGATGGACCCTTTGCATTAACATGTATAAAAGGGGCGGCAGCATTTTGGAAGGGAAGCAATGCATAAACGTATGCGCTCAAATGCGGCATGTTATCACTACATGACGAGGCAAAAGTCCTTAGAATAATTAATATGCATCATTATGCTTTCACGCGTTCTAAGCCCCGAAATTGAAGGTTCTTTGTATTTATATAAGATACACCAAAAAAGTGTGCTCATTTCCTATTTTATCAATATTTTCTTAATAAAAAAAATGAATGCAAATGAAAACTCGCAAACTCTTTCGAAGGACAATAAAGAAATACAAATTGCCAAACGCTTCTCGTGCTACAAAATATGGCTCGGCCAAGTACGAAAATAAATTATCACACCTCTCTTGTTACTTTCCCGCATTAAAGTAACAATGAAATAACAACAGGTGGCCAAATTATTATGGCAGGGCTCTGTATAATTAACAAAATGTTACAGCATTGCTTATTATAGCAATAACAGCTATAATGACAAAAATGACAAAATTCTTGTCTTTTAAATGACAAAATTCGTTCCAATCAACAAAAGGGTTGACTAAGGATCCGAATGATTGAATCCCATTGTTTTACCACATTTCAGAAGCCTTTTCTGAAAATGAAAACCATGATTCAACAACCACTACGGGTATGTGTGTAAGTTGATGCTGTGTAGCAGCTCCTAAGTCATCACATTTCGTCACAAGCTGTGCGTGTGTCTTTAGAACCTATTGTTCTTGGCAACATGAAGTGCAGGCAATCGTCACTACACCTCTACACGGCCGTTGAGAGAGTGCTGATCTAAGTTTGGCTATCGAATGAAAGGCCAGGCAGTGGCAGATTCTCGAGAATGCTGCCGTCAGCAACCATTAATCTCAGGGGGGTAGGTCACACCTATAGAGAAACTGGAAATTTAAACGGTATACTGACTGCATATTCAAGGATGCTTCAACACTTCGTAACCAGTTTAGATAATTGAACAGGTGTAATACTTCTGCGGTGTTCATATCACCGCCTCGTTACTTATGGAGCTTCGATCGTTGCTAATGCATTTTGCAGGTCTATGCACGTGCCAATCGATTGCCATGAGGCACACAGAGGAACGGAGAAAATGAAATTTTAAAAAGAAAAAAATCACTCGCCCAGGATAGTAACGGGCTGAAAGACCCCAAATCCATTTGAAAAAGCACTATCTACAAGACAAGAGGTGAGGATGAATGACAGGAAACACGGTCCCTTCTGACTGTTAACAAGCGCCGGAATCTCGACTCTGCAAGTCACCATCCTAGAACCAGAATACCGGTTTACTGTCCCCTCGAGAAGAAGAAAGAAAAGGCAGACCAACCGAGACAATTCCACATAGGTAGTAAAATGCACTCTTCCGTTTCCTCTTTCTCTCAGTCTTATCCTCCCAAGCCTCTTCTTTTCATTGCCACCTGGCGACCCTGCAGCCGGTCGTCCCCAACTAAAAAGCCCTCATATAGGCTCATGGTATCTGCACTTCCCCCCTCCCCCCCAAGCGAAAAAAAGCTTCCCCAACGACGATCTGTTGTTCGTTTTTCCCCCCCTCGGCTTGGATGGGGTGTACAACGACGTCACGAGATGGCGTCATAGACCGGACGTCCAATGGTGGCTCGCGAGTCCTCCCCCCCCCCCCCCTCACTGCCGCCGCTCCACACTCCCGAGCGGAACAAGCCGCTCCCTTAGTCGGCTTCTCATTGCCGGCACATTGCAACGTCGGGCGGAGGAACTCGTGATTCCCATGCTCTCAGGTGCGTTTTATTCGTTTCTTGCTTCGTGATTTTCTTTCGTGCAACTTGCTTCTCTCGTTTTCAACGTGACCGAGTTTTTTGTGTGAACTACTCTCGTCTCTGTCCTCGTCCGTTTACTGAGTGAAACTGGAAGTGCGTATCGTTTTTCGCAAGTTGGATAAAACTTCGCGATCAGTGACCAAGAATGGCGGAAAAGAAGTTTCTTCTACGCAGCACTAGATCGAACGTACTTTGAGAACCCTGCAAGCTCGCTTCGTCATATGAGGTCAGGATAACGAAAATCTAATAACGCTTCAAAACATGCGGACTGAGAGAGGTGCACTTAACACATCAAATTGGGTGGGTTATTGTCCATGTGGGAAATGATATGAAGTACAAAGAGCGGGACTATTCCGAACTAATACGAATGAGTCGCTACTGAAGGACTTGGAACTGGAATACCAACCCTATCCGGGTAGGGCGCAATACATTATTGCGTAATACGTTTCTCCTCCCTCATCAGGACTCGAAGCACCATGTATTGTAGCCAGATAGTCATTTAGTATGATGATACGTTTTTTTCAGTAAACATGCATAAAGATGATAGTATTGGCACAGGACTGCATAGCATGCAAGGCATTCCTAAGAATTCTCATTTCAAGCGTCATCTAGCCCGGTTCTTTACTGCAATGAGTCACGAACTTCGCACTTTTTTCTCCTCAATGAGGCGGTTTCCTGGGATTCCTTACTCATAAATCCTTCCTTGGACGTGGTTTCAAAATTACTGCTCACTTCCTGCTAGAGTTCATCCTCCCAGAAAGCGAAAGCGACATAGCATGATTAGGGAAAACTTCAAGAGCAGTGAAGTGTCTAATGAGATTGTAGCATTAAGCACGAAGGAAAAAAAAAAGTTAATTGGGATGGCGAACTCGCATCCGACGGAACTGACGACGAGGAAGCCATGAAAGAGCGAGGAACCACGCTTTACGAACTCCATGCTGGTGTGGAGCAATTACCCATCATCTTCAGGGAATTCTCGGGATAACGAACCCTGTCCTCACGGCAGGCATGTTCTTCGGGAAAATTTGACTCCGCTTCGACGATAAATCAGGCTTGGGGAGACGCAAAAGCGTCTCCCCTACGTTCCGGGCAAAACATGAGTCAGAGAGAGAGAGAGAGAGAGAAAAGGGGGGGGGGGGGGGGGGGGGA